TACATGTGCTTGGCCTTTGTTTTCTCTCTTTGGTTTTTGAGAGGTTCCCAGCCCAGAGCTTTCAAAGCTTCCTGGTGGGGAGTTTCATTACTCATAAGAAATTACTCTTGCAGATCTGTTTTGTAATTTCTGAAGACGTTTAGCGTGACCTTCACCAAGRGTGTCCCATASCTCACTACAGTAGTTAAAGTGCGGCTGTACTATAGCATTATGTATGCCAATCAGAGTTTCCCTGTCCACGAAGTCTCTTATTTTTCTAATGGCTCCTATACCCGACGTAACGTTTTTAGCTATGCTATCAACATGCTCATCCCAAGACAAAAACTGGTCAATCTCCAAACCAAGAACCTTACTTTGGGTAACTTGTTTTATGGAATCTTGACCGATCTCTACATTAGGCTGAGCAGTGATAGTACGCAAGTTATAGTGAGACCCAATTAGCAGAAATTCGGTTTTCGCTACATTAAGGCTCAATTTTTTAGTTAACAACCAGTTCTTAACGCACTCAAGGTCRCAATTCATGGAACTCTCAACTACCTGTATTGATCTACCAGTTGCTGTCAGATTAGTATCATCAGCAAACATACGTGGTATTGTTTCCCTTAGACACTCTGGTAAATCATTTATGTACAAAAGGAAGAAAAGCGGGCCAAGAATGGAACTCTGAGGAATTCCGCAGCCAATCCGGCTYTCTGAAGACAACACTCCATTTACCTGGCGCACCTGTTTACGACCCGATAGATATGATTTTAAAAGATTTAAGGCATTCCCGGTTATACCATATATTTCCATTTTACGCCATAGAATTTCATGGTTAACCGTATCGAATGCCTTTTTCAGGTCAAGAAATACAACCAAATTAAACATTTTACGGTCCATATTAATATGCCAGCTATTTGTACTTTCCAGTAGGGCGGAAGCAGTAGAGTGTAGTTTCCGAAAGCCAAACTGACGTTCGGAAAGAATGTTGTTCTCTGAGAGGTATTCATAAAGCTGTTCATATATGATTCGCTCTATTATTTTACTAATAACTGGTAAAATAGAAATTGGTCTGTAATTTCCAGGAAGATTGCGAGGACCGCTTTTATAAAGGGGCATAACCCTTGCTATTTTCCAGTCATCCGGGAAACAGCAAGAACTGATAGCATGATTAATGATATATGTAAGGGATGGAGAAATAGCTGATGCTGCAACTTTTAATATTTTGCTAGAAATCTTGTCAGTGCCAGTGGCTTTAGCCATCGATAGACCATGTAAAAGTTTAAGAACTTTGACATTGGAAACAGTTCCAAAATCCGACAATTTGGAACGAGATCGTTTAACAAAACTGTCAAATGAGACACTTSAAAGAGGCATATCATTGGCTAAGCTAGGCCCAACATTGATGAAGTAGCTGTTAAAAGTTTCAGCCAATCCCTCGGGAGAATTGATAGTAAGATCATTGAATTTCAATTCATTTACCACAGTATTATTTCTAGATAGTAATTTGTTTTAGCCTGTTGCATATCAATATTAACCTTATTTCGGAAGGACTTATAGGCCGTCCAATCTTCTTCCTGTTTGGTTACAATTGCTCTACGTTTTAATTTATCTCTGGTATAAATCAATTCTTTTATCTGCCTAGACAGCCATGGGACATTAAAAGATCTCGATCTTTTATGTTGGATAGGAGCATGTTTATTTAATATCTCAAGAAACATCTCCTTCCAACGAGACCACATGGAGTTGATATTATTTTCCAAAACGATCAGCTCCCAGGGCTGACCAAGGAGATCAGCAATAAATTGTTGCTGGTCAAATCTTTTCATGTTTCTAAATTCAATAATCTTRACATTTCCCTCGGTCTTTGTAACAGGATTTATTTTCCTGATTGCATATATTAAACTATGATCACTAATTCCCATATGAATTACCCCCGATAGCGCAAGTTTTTCAATCGAATTCGTAGTATGGTGATCAATAAGAGTACTTGATGTGTTGGTAATACGAGTAGATTCTTCTATTGTTTGGCGCAATTGATATATCTCGTAAATTGACTTGAGAATTCTGGTAGGCTGGTTTGGAATTCGTTTTAGCATATCACAGTTTAAATCGCCTAATATATGCAATTCTTTGTTTTCATTATCGACAGCCCTAATCATRCTCTCAAATTCAGTAAAGAAGTTGTTTGAACAATCAGGTGGTCGATAAACAGACGCGACAATGAATGGTCTACTATTTGGTCGAATTTTATAGTTGATCGAACTTCGTAGATAGATACAGACACCTCCCCCTTTTCTGGATCTATCTTTTCTAATTAAATCATAACCACAAATTCTAACCTCCCCATCTGAGATGGAAGGATCAAGCCTGGTTTCGTTAAACGCAAATAATTGGAATGATTTGAATAATTCAGATATTCGAATCTCGTCAATATGTTTAGGAAGACTAACTATATTTAGTAACGCCATTTTAAAACCTCTAACATTTGAAATAGGATTGTATATAGATTCAGAATTGCCACTCACATCTATCAATGTTCAAGTAAGGTAAGTATCAAAGTCTTTTGTTAACTGGTTGCTTCCTTTACGGTTAAGATGCAGTCCTCTGCGATTTAAACATGACATGTCGATATTTTGATGGTTTAAGAAAGGCCATCCTTTGGATTTGCAAAGTGATCTTAATATCTTATTTGTTTCTTTGATCTTATCATTTAGTTGTGGTCTATCTGACCTTAATAATATGGACGAGATGGAAACATTTGTGTTCGACGAGTTTTGTTCAATTTGAAAAACTACGTTTACAATACCTTCAGCCACTTCTCGGGGATTATCATCACAGATGTTGTTGGTTCCCACGTGAARAATTAGTTCGTTTGGCCCCTCGCGTATTAGGGGCTTTAGGTACTCTTCCATGTCTTCCACTCGAGCGCCAGAAAAAGATTTAACGGACACATGCCGATTTTCAGAGGAAAGGTTCCATCCCTGGACATGTTGTATCATAGAGTCTCCAGCAATATAAATTAGCCGTTTGTCACCTCTTTCTGATGGATGGATTTTTTTTGTTTCTCGTCTGTTTTTGAGATCTTGAGACTTGTACTGAAGGCGTAGAAGTATTGGATGAAGTAGAAGTATGTGCGAAACTGAGCGAGCGAGGTAAACAGACACAGAATTGTGAATTTCATTCTCGTACAAATTTATCAATAAATTGTTATGGAATTGAATACATACGACGTTAGATTTGATTCCACTTTGGTTTATGTTTCTTTTCCTGACTCTGCCTTGAAGTAGCCTACAATTCTGGACAAGATACGAGAAGTTTTGGTGACTCGAGGAGATTTGCTTGTTGAAGCCGATGGCGGGAGAGTTAGAACTCCAACCAGGGAATTTCCATCAAACCTTGTGAACACATTTTTCAAGTCCTGGTAAGACAGCCCAGCCATAGCTATTTTCTCACACATGCTCTTGGTTACAGGATTTAACCCTCACTGGAGGAATTTCGACTCTCTGTTAAAGAGTCGTTCTGGCCCACCAAAGAGTCGTTTTGACCCTTCAAAGAGTAGTAATTTTGGCACCATAAAGGGTTGTTAAGAAGGATAAAGGATAACCTGGATAACCCACCAAAGAGTCGTTTTGATCCTTCAAAGAGCAGTAATTTTGACATCATAAAGGGTTGTTTAGACCCTTTGAAGGATAACCTAGATAACCCACCAAAGAGTCGTTTTGATCCTTCAAACAGTAGTAATTTTGACACCATAAAGGGCTGTTGAGATCCTTTGATAGTTAACCAAGAGGACCCACCAAAGAGTCATTTGGACTGTTCAGGGAATAGGGCCAACATTAAATTAAAACCCACAAGAATTATAAAAAGTCAAAATATAAACCAGAATTATATATTCAAAATAAGTTTATTGCAGTGTTGTTCAAATTTATGATAGAGTGCAAGCAATATATCCGGGAAATACAATTTACTAAATAGTACAAAATAGTGCTAATTAAACAATAGAAAACAATTGAATTTGTATAAAATTGTACTATTTAGTAAGACTAATTTTTCACAGATAAAGTGTATTTCATTAACCCGTGAAACACGCTTTAGTCTAATACCATTGTGTTCTTTTGTTATTAGTTACACTTTGTTTCACAGATTTATGAAAAGCACTCTAAAGTGTTTGCACTCTATAACTATATGCAACATTAGACAATATGAAATAGCTGTCCAAAAATCAGAGCAAACCTAAGCTTGTTTCAGTACCATTTCAAATGAATGAATGATCATAAACTTCAAACATTCTTGATAAGAACATGAAAAGCTAACCAAAAGGCACAGAAAATGGAAGAGTGTTGCGCATTTTAGTTTCTTGTACCGAGTTAAGATTGCTCCTGTACACACARCAGAACTTCCATTTCATTGGTTTCATGTATATTTTCAAACATCTACTTTATTCATCTTAGAGTACAATCACTATATCACTGAAATATACACATTACTATCTTAATTCGTGCCAATTTACAAAAAGAAAATTTAATTTGCACAAATTTGCTTACTAAAGACACTGTCTCACAACAGCTATTATTACAGATACATAAAAATGAGACAACAAGCATTGTTATCGACCCGATAGCCTCACTTCTATGATTGTTGAAACTAAAGAACATTACTTGCATGCATCCATAATAACAGCTATTCGTCCTTTGCCAGACATTTCACATGACTTCCTTCTCAGCAGCAAACACACATTACATTGATTGGGAACATACTGTCACCCTAAAGTTTCATGGTTGTTTGCACTTGAGGATGCTTACATGTTTATAAAATTATGCAGGTAAACATTATGCGAGGTTTCGCATATCTCCAAAAAACTGAGAAACTGAGACAGGAAGTTTAATATTTAAAGATGGCAACATAATGCTTTGGAAAAAAATCATCAAATTTCTTTAAATAATCAAAATTGAAAACAAAATATACGCATACAAGCAACACAACTGCCTCAGCAATTCTTCCTTTGCCAGACATTTCACATATCACTTCCTTCTCAGCAGCAACACACATTACATCTATTTGGGACATACTGTCTCCTCCAAGTATTATTGTGGGTGTCACAGTATTCTTAATGATATCTTCCATGCTTTCCCCGCCCTATTAAAATTACAGAAACAAGAAAATATTATTAGAGTCCAAGCTTTGAGAACAACAGGGTCTGAGATGGGTGCAATTTGCATACCAAGGTCAAGAGGTCTGTCTACACAATAAAAATCTTTATTGAGTGGTTTTCATTAACCCGTGAAACACTAACTGAATATTAGTGTTAACTAATAACAGCTAATCTACACAAATGAAAACACTAGAAATTTAGGTCTACTAACTATTTCAGGGGTTAAGGGTAATGCCTCTAAAGTGTCTTTGACAAGTTGATGAAAACTACAGTATATGCAAACAGTGCATAAAACTATCCCCCCTTTATACCCGAACCAGTTTCCTCTGTGCCAATTATACAACAATAAATCATATACTTAATTTATTGTTAGCTATGTCTCCAAGATAAAAATTATTTATAAAGAAATGTTGTGTATGTTTGCTTAGTACCTTAACTAGCTTCAGGAGCAATTCACTTGAGCTGCCCTTCCTTCCTCCTCCTTTCTTCAATATGTGGTTTGCCACCATATATAAAGAGGCTCTCTCTTGGCATTCTAAATTAAAACAACATAAGAATGATCAATTGCATTTTACCCAGCACTTAGTCTCAATACAGCATGAACTCAGGCATCTAAAATAAGGTATTCATGCATATTAGTGAAGTACAAGTCAATTTTCAAGGCACAAAGCAGTGATATAAGCCAATGAAACAAATAGATAAAAAACAACTAAACAAAATCAAAACCTGCTGTCTCAGGGGAGGTTGATCAACGTCTGTGCTCTTCATGAGAATGCTGTACTTCCTAAAAATTCAGTTATTCTAATAAATAAAGCTGCATTGTAACCTCACCTTTTTCAGGTATTTCTCCTAGGCTTATGGCAGCATCCATATCATTAAGAATATGGCTGGCGGTTTTCTTTTGTTTGCAATATTGGAGGATTTTCGGTAACAAATTATCTGTTAGATTATCTTTCATTGTCCTTGTGATACTAAAAAATATCAAGTACTCTTTAAGATTAGATAATACCTGTCATTCCCAAAGGGGCACTTGTACAAAAATATGCCAAAATCTTTGTAACTTTGCTGCCATTTCCAGCCACGTTTCATTTTTTCAAGTATTTCTATGATGTATGAAAATTTAATTAAGCTTGCACAGCAATGTACATATCAATTGTCTCCTAGCTTAATTTTACGTCCATTACATTGCATTTGGTTGCACACAGGAAAAAAGAAATTGCTGGAAGAAGTGACTGATTGAGAATGGCTGTAAAGATTTTTTAACAGAACTTTTAGCTCAACTGTGATGATGACAAAAAAATTTGATCCTCAAAAGATGCCATGGTATATATTTRATATGAAAGCACTTACATGTGGTGATTTCTGCAGAGGAGGATATTCTGAAAAAAGTGACTTCAGTCCCAACTGCTGCTCAATTACTGCCTTTCTTCGTAGGGGATATGTTTCTGTCATTAGGGTTTGGACAGCAGATTGGTCTGGTCTGCTACTGCGGCAAATTTTCTTGAGCTGCTTAACCTTTYCCCCAAGGTTTCATCAGTCTCGTCTTCTGGAATTTCTGGAACTGAAGACCACATCTCTTCTGTTTTTCTCGAGGTCTTCTTTGATGAACCTGGTGTGCTGCCAGGATCACCTACTTTTCGGTATGCAATACTCCTTCTAGCAGAAGACCTCTGCAGCCTTTTTATTCGGTGTTTAATTTTCTGTTCCCAAGAGCCCTGATTATAATAAATAAAATATATTTACATTATAAATAAACTCCCTAGAAACAACACAAACAAAAACCGATACTGCTACAACTCCATTACGCCCAATTACTAGTGATTTTGCTTGCTTAGGTTACATGCAATGTGTGTAAGAAATTGGTTGTGGTACACATATCTTATAATACTTTTGAGCTGTATGTTTTCCTGTACTTAATATACTTTGATCAATAAAAGGTATAGGTATATGTAAAAGATACACTGGACACTCTAATGTACGTACTTTCAATATCAATGATTTCACTAGACTGTAAAAACTCAAATTAAATGTGCTCTATATGCAATCAAACAAATCAAAACCCAGATGATGTCAGGTGCATCCTCACATCAACTCAAGCAAAAGAATAAGAAACATACCCATTCATTTGATGATGCCAGTATCTTTTTGYCTTTTGTAAAGGGATAGGCTTTAACAATTTTTTTGGCCACTATCACCCTCTCAGACTCTGTGGGATATTGTTGTAACTTAGAGTCGAAAATAAGGATTAACTACTGCTTTTATTTAACACAACAAGGAACACATGGCGGTCCGCCATTACACTCAATCCTGCCTGTCATGTCCCGTATGTAGAATCATGACGTCATCCATAGACAGGATATGACACTCCCTCCCCCTCAGGCTCAATGCCATGCCCAAACCCAAACAAAAACAACAAGCTACAATGTCACWGTCTTTTATCTTCCCAGTCCTATTGTTCATAGTCCCGTAGGTATGCTGGCTGCCTTCTCTCTCTTCTGGGGTATCGTTCATGTGGCACAGCTACCGCCTCTGTACAGGCAACCGCATCACAACTTGTGGTAGGCCGCTCTTCGACGTTGCTTGGAAGGGGCTCTGTAGCTAGAGTGACAACATCCCTTGGTGACTGCAGCATGACATGGTTATCCTGCCCTTCTTCTTCCACCTTCTGTTCTCCATCCTTGACAACCTCTTGGGTTATAGCCACCGAGTCCCCCTGTGGAGGCGATCCGGTGGCTTTCTCGGGATGCCGACTACGCACATGGTCTATGTGTCTGCGTACTCCCCGGCCATCCACTAGGGTAACTGTGTAGGACAACGGGCCTGTAGTTTCCTGAATTACCCCSGGGATCCAGCGTAACCCGCTTCCAAAATTCCGGACATACACTGGGTTGCCAACCGTGAACACGCGTGGGTGGGCTTGACGGTCATGTACTTCCTTCATCTTGCTCTGTTTTTGTTGAACCTTTCCTTGTAGGTTTGGATGTAGCAAGTCTAGTCTACATCGCAACTTGCGTCCCATCAATGCTTCCGCTGGAGACTTCCCAGTTGTTGTCTGAGGTGTTATCCTGTAGTTGAATAACAACTTCTGAAGTCGAGTCTCAATGCTATCTCCTCGCTCTTTCTTTAGTCCTTCCTTTATGGTCTGTACTGCTCTTTTGGCTAAGCCATTAGTTGCGGGATGGTAAGGTGCGGACGTGACATGCACTATACCGTTCTGAGTCAAGAATTCCTCCATCTCTTGACTAGTGAAGTTAGACCCGTTATCAGAGACGACCACCTCCGGTAGCCCATGAGTTGCAAACATCGCCCGAAGCTTAGATATGGTGGCAGCCGAGGTAGTGGAGCTCAYAATCTCTGCATTAATCCATTTGGAATGGGCATCAACAACAGCCAAGAACATTTGGCCCATAAATGGACCTGCGTAATCCATGTGTAGTCGTTTCCATGGTTGGTCCGGCCACTCCCAGGGGAGCAAGGGAGCTGCCGCCGGTGCCTTACGGTGTACTTGACAGGTTTCACATTGTTGGGCTAAGTTCTCTAAGTCCTTATCCATAGACGGCCACCACACATAGCTACGTGCTAATCCTTTCATACGGTTAATACCTGTATGTGCTCGATGCAGCTCCTTCAACACCTGCTCTCTCCCTACTGGTGGAATCACGACTCGCGCACCCCAAAGCACACATCCCTCGTGCACGCTCAACTCCAACGTCTTTGTCTGGTATGGCCTCATCAATGGATCATCCAAGGTGCTATCGTCAGGCCATCCTCGTAAAAGGTATTCCTTTACATGTGCTAGCACCGGGTCACGTTGGGTCCAGGTACGTATCTGCTCMGCTGTTAAGGGGAACCCCTCCAGCTCTTGAATGAGAAGTACTCTGTCCTCTTCCTGCACTTGCCGACTTACTGGTAAGGGTAATCTGCTGAAAGCATCCGCATTTCCGTTCTCTTTTCCCGCTCGGTACTGGATGGTGTAGTCATAACCTCTTAGGGTCACAGCCCATCTTTGGACTCTTGGTGAGGCGGTGGTTGGCACCTGCTTTTTTTCATTGAACAATGTCTCGAGGGGCTTGTGGTCTGTCAAGATCCTAAAATGGCGTCCATACAAATACTTGTGGAATTTCTTCAGGCCGAATATGACGCCCAGTCCTTCTCGATCTAATTGTGAGTAGTTCTTCTCAGCTGCGTTAAGGGTTCTGGATGCAAATGCGATAGGTTTATCAGCACCGTCAGCCATGCGGTGTGACAGCACCGCTCCGACGCCGTAAGGGGAAGCATCGCACTGTAATAACAGCTCTTGATCTGGGTCATAATGGACTAACACATCTGCAGACATGATCAGCTCCTTAGACTTCTCAAAACTCTCCTGTTGTTCCTTTCTCCATTTCCAAAGTTCCTCGCTTCGCAATAACTTATGCAACGGTGCTAGGGTGGTTGCTAACCTCGGTAGGAACCGATTGTAGTAGTTCAGCAGTCCCAAGTAGGCTTTCAGCTCAGAGACATCATTAGGTGCCCTTGCTTCTGTCAGTGCTTGCACCTTGTCTTTCACAGGGTGGATTCCCTGTGCGTCTATCACACGACCAAGGTATGTGACACTCTCAGCCAGGTAAACACACTTACTTTCCTTTAGCCTTAAGCCCGCTTCCTCCAGCTTGGATAACACTTGTTCTAGGATTTGCAAATGTTCTGCATCATTGGCTCCTGTGACCAAGATATCATCAATGTAGACTGCCACCCGGGGAATTCCTCGCAGGATACCCTCAATGGTCCTCTGGAATATGGCTGGGGCACTGGACACCCCAAAAGGAAGTCGGGTATAGGTGAACAATCCTCGATGGGTATTGATTGTTACGTACTGTGATGACTCTTCATTTAACAGTAACTGTTGATAAGCATGGCTTAGATCTAACTTGGAAAATTTCTGCCCTCCAGCCAATTTGGCTGCGATATCATCAAACGTGGGATGTGGGAACTGATCAAGCCTTGAGGCTTGGTTTACTGTAACCTTATAGTCCCCGCACAACCTTATGGACCCATCTGGCTTTAACACAGGAACCACTGGGGCAGCCCAGTCAGAAAACTGGACTGGTTTGAGGGTGCCTGTTGACACAAGCCTGTCAATTTCGGCCTCTACCTTACCCTTCATTGCATAGGGCAAGGACCTGGGTTTGAAAAACTTGGGCGTGGCAGTGGGGTCCACATTTATCWTAGCAGTAACCCCTTTTATGGTACCCAGTTCCTCCTTGAAGAGGTCACCATGTTTTTTCAATACTCCTCCTAGCCTTATCTGGTTCACAGTCATGACTGAAAGACCCTGTATAATGTCTCTTCCTAAAAGCAGTGGGCCTCCCCCCTTGGTAACATGAACTTCAGCTTTTCTTACTTGACCATTGTACTTTAGCTCTAGGGCAACTGTTCCCAATACATTTACTCTCTGACCTGTGTACGACTTGAGCCTTAATGGCGATGGCTGTAATTTAGGTACCTTCCCTCCAAACATGCCCTTGATTGTTTCTTSATCTATCAAGGTGACCGGGCACCCAGTGTCTAGCTCAAACTCCAAGGGTGCAAAAGGGGTTGCATTTCCCTTCACTTCTACCACAACTATGATGGGTTTCCCCTTGGTATCACTAATGTGATTCATGTTTTCCTCAATTCCTGGGTCCTCAAACTCTAGGTCCTCTTCTTCTACTAGGTTACAGTTCCTGGATCTGTGTCTCTCCCGACACATGGCCTTTGTGTGCCCCCTCCTTTTACAGGAAAAACACTGTTCATTCTTAAATGGGCATTTAAAGGGGGGRTGTGAGCCCCCACACCGGAAACATTCTTTACYTGATTTCTCATCTCTACTACTAGGTTTTTCTTTCTTGCCTTGAGGAGAATCCTGACCTTTGGCACCCCTACCATACATTTTATTGACATTAACACTTGGGGTAGCACCT